GGGCCGTAACAATATGTCCAAGACACTGTGAAATGTACTTTGCACTTCAATGGAGTAATAAAAAGTTAAAATGGGCATTTTCTTTGTTTTTCTTTGTTGATTGAGCTGATTGAATTGTGTAGTTATGGTAAAATTCCAGTTAACTAGTCAAATTTACAATATATTATCGTATTATTTACATTTGTATATTTACAGTAAATTACTGGCTACTGTGTTGCATTACTTCTACAGTAACAGTGTGAAAATACAGGTAATTACTGTAATTTATGTACAGCAAGGTACCATAATACCACAGCTCTGTACTGCTATATCACAGTAATTCCATGGGCATGGCAACTGTAAAGTCACAGTATTTAGTTGTACTTTTATTCTAATTTATTGTAAAATATCTACAGTATATTACTGTGAAATATTTACAGTCAATTACTGTGAAATATTTACAGTAAATTACTGTGAAATGCATGCAACTAGTAGCCAGTAATTTACTGTAATTTTACAGCCAAACATTTTACAGTGTAGGTATTCATATTTCTCTCATCCTCATTCTTTTCATCTTGTCATATTGTTTGATATTTTCTGTTTGCTCATTTAAATGTGCTCATGTTTGTAATCCTATAGTAGGCCTATTAAATATGAGGTCACCTTGAGTGAGAGAGAATTGAAAGGACACAAATACTTTTTTTAAATAACCAAATACAGATTACAGTGCGCGAAAAAAATACCAGTAAATATTATATCCATATGTGTGATGTTACTTTAAATGTAAAAGTGTATCACCTGTCTGTGGCACACAGTATTGTCCATTGGTAGGAATACTGTTGATACACCCACACGTGTTGTCAATGATGTCATCACAGGCTCCATATGTATTACAGTTGCTTAATGACCACACATACTGTTCCTCACATCTGCACTGGAAGTGTGTACCATTTGGGTAACAAACTACATTAAAAAGAAAAACAATTAAACAGACATTATAATCAGTTATAGTCTTACCACTACTCAAAGTCCCTCTGCCTTACATGTCAAGATATCCACAAGTTGACAAACTGGACTCATGAGGATCTATCTAATGCTTATTTCCACATTTTGCTGTGCCTTGGGAGATACTTTGCTATGGTATCTTTGCCCAATGACACTTCAATGCAGACAGAAGGAGCAGGACCATTGCAACACACTCTCACTCCCTAAGCGTCCAGGAGCGACGCTTGGTCAGGGTCCCGTGGCGTCCAGTTGTGACGCGCTGAGGCTCTTTCAGCTTCATAAACGGATGCAAAGAGCTTTCAACTGATTGCAATGTATTCCCATCGGCGGCGGTATTTGACGCTTAGGGAAGCACGGCATTCGTTTGTGTCGGAGGCTGTTAAAGGCAATGTGATCGTCCATTCCCATTGGATAACGGAGAATTGTACACCCGGAAGTAAGTATTCCCCTTACTGTCGATTGATTTGACAGTGATATCTCCACTACTCATCAACTCAAAAACACCAGATTATCCTTGTTAATTAAACGACATTGATAGGTTTTAGTGTGTGTACAATGCTTTTGTCACGTTTTCCCCTTCAATTCTGAGAAACAAGTCGTTTTCTATGAGTTTTGGATGGCCGAAGACATTACATTACCCACAATCCTCTGTAGCAACCATAGACTGTATAAAAAAATTAAATAATACATTATTCCGAGTGTGCTTGCTTTTCTCTTCAAAAACACCAGATTATCCTTGTTAATTAAACGACATTGATAGGTTTTAGTGTGTGTACAATGCTTTTGTCACGTTTTCCCCTTCAATTCTGAGAAACAAGTCGTTTTCTATGAGTTTTGGATGGCCGAAGACATTACATTACCCACAATCCTCTGTAGCAACCATAGACTGTATACAAAAATTAAATAATACATTATTTCGAGTGTGCTTGCTTTTCTCTTTGAAAGTCATCACATAACGGCATTGTAATACACGTTTCGGCTGCATTAAATATGACATATCTGCCGTAGTTAACTCTATTTATAGAGCCCTGATGACAAGACTTCTAGACAAACAGGAACTGCCGCCAAAACTGAAAACTTGACGTGGATCTTAAATATATATGCAATTAAACAACATCTTACATTTCTTTTCACACAATACGTCTCCTTGCAGTATCAACACTAATTCGGCTGACTTTTATATTTGATCCAATTGGTAGATAGGCTGTATTTACGCCATAACGGTGCACAGCTGATAGAAAGGGACACCTACTGGTTAAAGCACGTTATTGCATTTTATAATTTTATTATTAGATATTAATAGGAGGATGTGCAAAACAGACAAACTAATAAGGCTTTATTTAAACATTAAAGAATACTTTAGGTTAAGGTCTTCTTTTGAATAAGAAAAAAGCTTTGGGGGTATAGAAGATGAATATGGAGAATTTGCACATCCCATTCAAGATTTCAAGATTTTCTAAGGTTTATTGACATATCATATTATACACAACTACGGTGTAGTTATGCAATGAATGAAAAACTTCGGTCGCATGTTCCTCAACAGTGCATTACAAGACATCTATCAATATGTGTGTACCTCCACCATTACATTGTCATATTCTGCACATTTCTTATACTATCTACCAGCTGGTGGAAAATATTTTAGGTGGGGCTGTGGAAATGGTGATCAAACAATACTAGGGGGCATTTTTTTGAGAAAAGACCCCCTAAATTATGACTTCTGGTGATGTTAGAGGGGGAGGGGGGAGGACAATTTGAGGCTTAAAAATATGAGAAGACTGATCAATACCTCCATAACTTCAGTGTGGTTAGCTATGAATCTTCCAAAACTTCCAAACACCTTGTCCTGGACATAGTTTCTACAGCATAAACTGTGCTAACAAGCTGAGATTCCAGATTCTAGAAATATAAGTATCATCACTGAGCGATCAGAACTCGCGACAGGGGAAGCAAATACAGACATCCCACGACGTAGCTTTAGGTAGCAAAACACGGAGATATGCTCACCTTTTGCAGAATAACAATTCTGATCAAAAACGAGAAAAATGCAGCTGAAGGTTAATCCAATGTGTCTGTCACAAATGATTGATGATCCATAATTCCATTTTTATGTCAAAAACGGAGTTTTCATTAGCTGCTAATGGTAGCTTCCAGAGTGTATGACAGCTTGCTGTTTTGTCTCCTTGGATACGAGTCCAAACAACTCACAGACTGCACCGGGCGCTCACGTAGGAGCCCTGTGACCATCAGATTTGACGACGCTGATTGGCTGAAATTATGTTTCGGCGGCATAGTTTAAAGATAGCAACAGTTGGCTTCTGCTGCACTTGCTGCACTCTCGTCTGGGCGCTGTGCATAGCGCCCAGACGAGAGGGAGTAATGATACACGGGCAAGGCCAGGCAGGAAACATGTGACTTATCAGTAACTTTAGACATCGTAACACAATTTTAAACGAGATTTTATTGTAGATTATACATTTTACTGATACTAATTATATAATATTTACCTTCTTTATTAAAAATAAAAATAAAAATAAAAAATATATTTTTTAAATATATATATATATATTTTTTTTATTTATTTATTTTTTAATGTGGGAAGAGGGGGGGGCGGCGCCCCTAGCGCCCCTATGGGCCGGCCGCCACTGCTATCTACATACATCTTATAAGAGTATAATACATATGTATAATATCAGTTAAAATAAGTGCTTAAACATAGTTAAGATTGCAGGAAAGCAATATATTAGACGTTAAGTACTTTGTCAGGCTTAATATTTATTTGTAGATACAAATTTGTATTACAATGCCGTTATGTGATGACTTTCAAAGAGAAAAGCAAGCACACTCGGAATAATGTATTATTTAATTTTTGTATACAGTCTATGGTTGCTACAGAGGATTGTGGGTAATGTAATGTCTTCGGCCATCCAAAACTCATAGAAAACGACTTGTTTCTCAGAATTGAAGGGGAAAACGTGACAAAAGCATTGTACACACACTAAAACCTATCAATGTCGTTTAATTAACAAGGATAATCTGGTGTTTTTGAAGAGAAAAGCAAGCACACTCGGAATAATGTATTATTTAATTTTTGTATACAGTCTACGGTTGCTACAGAGGATTGTGGGTAATGTAATGTCTTCAGCCATCCAAAACTCATAGAAAACGACTTGTTTCTCAGAATTGAAGGGGAAAACGTGACAAAAGCATTGTATACACACTAAAACCTATCAATGTCGTTTAATTAACAAGGATAATCTGGTGTTTTTGAAGAGAAAAGCAAGCACACTCGGAATAATGTATTATTTAATTTTTTTATACAGTCTACGGTTGCTACAGAGGATTGTGGGTAATGTAATGTCTTCGGCCATCCAAAACTCATAGAAAACGACTTGTTTCTCAGAATTGAAGGTGAAAACGTGACAAAAGCATTGTACACACACTAAAACCTATCAATGTCGTTTAATTAACAAGGATAATCTGGTGTTTTTGAGTTGATGAGTAGTGGAGATATCACTGTCAAATCACTCGACAGTAAGGGGAATACTTACTTCCGGGTGTACAATTCTCCGTTATCCAATGGGAATGGACGCTCACATTGCCTTTAACAGCCTCCAACACAAACGAATGCCGTGCTTCCCTAAGCGTCAAATACCGCCGCCGATGGGAATACATTGCAATCAGTTGAAAGCTCTTTGCGTCCGTTTATGAAGCTGAAGGAGCCTCGGCGCGTCACAACTGGACGCCACGGGACCCTGACCAAGCGTCGCTTCTGGACGCCTAGGGAGTGAGAGTGTGTTGACCATTGATCTTCGGATTAGTTGACGACCAACTTTACATCCTGAGCCACAGTCAAAGCGCTTCGCCTAGTCGGGCAGCACTGCTCTCTCCAAAATATACACAACGTGAGCGCAGAGCCGTTTCGACGTGTATCATGTGAAAGCAGCTTAATGGTCAGAAAGATGTCCCATTGAACCAATATGTCCAACAGCACATTACCCCCAAAAAACAACCACCTATTGTTTGAAGGCCCCTTCGCTCCAAAGATAAACCCTCCCTGCGCAACAAACAGAAGCAGATAGGTTATTGTTATGCAGACTGATATTTTATTCATGATATTTTTCCTGTTGGGAAAGGCATGACCTGCTCTACTCTACCCTTTGCCATAGTAAACTTGCCAACATAAAACACTCTTGGCAGACCCAATCTGATTACACCATTCTGCCTAATAATTAGCCATGCACTTCTGTTCCTTGGACTGAGACTCGTTGTTTGGTTTCTAGGTAACAGGCTGCTGGACGAATAGGCTTTAGGTCCAATGGGACATATTTTAGATGATATTGTGTTAAGGAGTAATGGTCTGTTCAAACATTCCTTACTCTGGACATACTGTAAACAGTATGTATTTCAGACTTGGAATTCTAAAAAATGAAACTTGTGTAAGATCAATAATTGGAAAGAACATTATTATTATTATATAATATATTATATATTATTACATGTGCCAAGTTCTAGGACTGTTTTAGGTACTAAAGCTTTTATGTGCGCTGCTCCTCTAGCTTGGAACACTATGCAAAAAACATTGAAACTGAGCATTTTGATTCCCTTGCATCATTTTAAAGCACGGCTGGATGAAATGTTATTGGATACCTGTCACTGTAAATAGGTTGCTAATGTATACCCCTGTAATTATGTTGTGATGTCCTTTTGTTTTCTGTTGTTTTTATGTGTAACTAATGTACCGCAGGTCTCCCTTGAAAAAGAGATCGTTGATCTCAATGGGATTTTTTAACCTGGTTAAATAAAGGCTACAAACAAACAAACAATTATTGTTTAACTTGTGCACACGCCTTGCTAGTGCCCTGTCTGAGAAGCCCTGGAGGATTATTCTTTTTGACACTCAAAAGTATGTGGACATTCTTGAACTTTCCAAACTTGCTTCACCTCAATGAGAAGGGAAATTCCCAATGTTAGAGGAGGACTGTATAATATAAAATAAAGTGTGTTTAAACAAAAATAGTTTAGTGATATGAAGGTCACGAGAGCATATTCTCGCATTGCACTTTGTCCAAAGTTAATAAGTGAGCCATTACTCTGTAAACACTTGAAAGAAAATAGAATTGATTTAACTGAATGTATCACATGGTCAAATGTGGGGAAAAAGGACACAGTACACTTTAATACCCAGACGCCCTTTGTCTTGTCTAACAACATTTCCCCCCCATGCTTTTACCACCATGCTTACCTGTGGTGATGTTAATGTGGGTGACGTTCACAGTTGGACCCAAGGCTAGGGAAAAGCCACCTGCATCCAGGATGCTTCTAAGGGCGTCCACGGTCCCAATATCAGTAAAATTCAGCTCAACATCCACATCGTACTCAACCTGAGCCAGAAGCCCTGTAGTAAAAAAACAACATGATTTAGGGTCTCTTTTGGTTAAAGGACATATCAATGTAGAGAATTCACTCAAATTAAGCTGTAGTCATTTAAAGTAATACTTAATTATGTGTTTTATCTTAGAGCTAATGGTCTATTAATGATCACTCTAAATATAAAATATTTAATGTCTCTTATTATTTAAAGGTTTTAGCCACTGCGACCCTTCAAAAAGAAAATGTATGCTTTTTTGGGTTAAATAGGTTTTTGTGCATGTAAATGGTCTGCAAAGGCTAAAATCCCTGTGTGGCCTCCAGAGGGAGTTTGTCCCCCCCCCCATCCCCCCACCCTTCCTGAAACGCATCAATTGGACATCTTTGTTTACTTCTGTAACATAGTGACATGATGACATCTATTGGCTAGCGCTCCAACACATTGTACGTGATAGACTAAGGGCCGGAACTTTACTGAGCAGTTAACCAATCACAACAGAGCCAGCCAGCTAACCAATCAGAGCAGACTGGGATCTGGTTTCAGACAGAGGGTGAAAAGAGCAGCACAGACAGTATGAGAAATATAAAGAGCTTTTTGAACATTAAAGCATGGAGACATGTCACAGTAGAGACACTACATACAAATATGAACCTGAAAATGAGCATAACACACTGAAAAAATTAAACATTGACTTTAATTAAATGAATCAATAAGTAATGACTTGTTCACCTGATATTGCCTGGCAGGACTGTCCATCAGCTGGAATAGCATCAATGCATGTACAGATGCCACTAACAATGGAATCACAGGCTCCATACGTGACACATGTGCTGTATGGCCAAGCAAAATTGTCCTCACATCTACACTGGAAGCCAGTGGCAGTCGAGGAACACACTGATGAAAGAAAAGTGATCATTATAGCATAAAAGGTGTTTATATGTTGGTAAAAAGGTCAACATAGCTACTCAAATGACTCACCTGTTGTGAAGGTAATGACCGAGATCTCTGTGTTGTTACCAAGTTGTATGGGAAAACTGTTCAAAGAGGACTGAAACTGCTGAATTATTGCCACTTCAGAGGCATTCAATACAACATCAAGCGTGTAATTCCATTGGTTTGTAGCCACTAGAGAGATTGAAATAAATACAAACAAAATATGAATGTTGTTTTAAATCATCCACACACAATATACAAGTTCTTAATAGTTGGTATTTGGGGAACCACTTTTTTGAGTTCGATGAGATGAGTCACTGTTCTGTTACAGCTAAGTTTAGTATTGTTTGCATTTTCTGGGCTATTTTTTGTGTGCCTATTGTGCCTGTTCGTGGTCCCTTTAAGAATCAGGATGACATCATCAGATGGGTGTGTCAGGTGATCATTAGAGAGGAAATAGGCAAAGCATACCTTTGATCGCATCGTATGTACTTATTGTTATCGTACGAAAACCGCGCCGCGCCACACTAATTGCGCCGCATAAGCGCATAGGTGCGCCGCTTTTGCGGCTCAGTTGAGGCTCCCTCCGCAAGATGAGGCTCCCTCCGCAAGATGAGGCTCCCTCCGCAAGATGAGGCCCCCTCTGCAAGGTGAGGCCCCACGCAGTCTGCATGATCTGCCTGTAGGGAGGGGCGGCCCTGCATTTGACCTACACGGAACAGAAGTCCAACACCAAGAGTCTAAATCAACACTTAGCGAAACGGGCTAACGGGGCTAACGGCTACTTTAGCCCATAACTGGCAAAATCGATATTTTCTTTTCTATTTCCTTATCTGCACAAACGACATATCACATGAAAGCTGAGATTCCACAGTTTCCATTGGTATAAGTCTCATCACTGTATGACCACAACTCACTGAACTAGCAACCAGGAAATAGCAAGAAAACGACTTCACTTTACGTAGCCATGATGATAATTAAATCTTACCTTTACTGTTTTGTGATCAAAAGTTGTGTTCAAGGGCATAAAAACGGTTAATCCAATGTCTCTGTGTAACTTTAAAATTATTACTGATTATCCATCATTACAATTATAAATAATAAACGCAATAAACGGATTGTAATGATTAGCCGACCGGAGCTTCCGGTTTAGGACGTGCGCACGCAGCATCTCGTTTTAACTGACCAATGGTCATGTTTACATGGATTTATGAATTGACCCTAATTACCGCCCCCCTTCCAGAGACACACTGTCAAACACACTCATACCTGCTTGGTATGACATTGAAAAGGTTACATAAAATAATAAATAAAAATAAATTACAATAAAATGACTGTTGTTTAATCTTCACATCTTGTAATCATGTCTATAATTTTGAGCACCAAATTATTGAAAAGTATCGATATGAGTATCGAAAAATACCGGTATCGATAAGCAGTATCGGTATCGGTATCGATAAAATCCTAACGATACCCATCCCTAATTACAGATGATTATTTTTTGAAAATATTGTATTCTGTGGTGTTTAATGCTGGAGATCTTCCAAGATGTCTCAATATTGTACAAGGTTAATGCAAGGAGAGTTAAATGAATAAATGTACAAATGGTTGATTATATATAAAATATGATGCCATTTATAACTGTTTGAGTTCTAGAATTAAAATAAAAACATTAAAAAGGTTACAGTAAATATAACAAGGCAATTGTATTCATGTTAAAGCTATGTATATATACATTGTGCATATTTGTGCATGTAAAAATGATCATAGAATTGATTACATTTTGTCTTGTTTATTTTAGTTTCACACCATCCTTATACCAATAAACCTGTAGGCACAGGATTCACGTCTTCAGAGTCTTGGTGTACGGAGGGAGTTTATCTGGCTGTTAAGCTATATACACTGCATATTCCGGGGACAGCACAGTCACACCTCTCATGTTTTCAATCTTTTAAACTAGCTATCAGTTATAAAGTGTTATTATTCCAATATTCTTTCATATTTAATAATGAGACTTACCACTCCTTTTCCCCCTGGTGTGAGGGATACATGATTCTTCTTCATTGTGTTCCTGAGACAGCAGATAGGGTTCAGGTTCAAATAATTGCTTTGTGTATTGAAGGCTGTGATTCCATATTTTCTGTACAGTATTGTAAACACCGTTGACCTACCGGCAAAACCCGACTTGGAGATTCAATGAAGTTCCCTGTTTCCAAAATAGTTAGTGTCAGGAGAAGGGCAAAGATGGACAAGCATGTCTTAAATATTGCCATTCCTTTTAAGAAAGTGGGACAGAAAAGAAAAAAATCATACCACCCAGCTTTACATTGTTTGTATTGTATAATACATAGATGTTGAACACTGTCATAATTATACCTTGTTCTTATACCACAGAACAAATAAAGGTCAAGCGCATTGTTGAGGGTTTCTTAACCTAATAATTATCTTATTACATCATTGGATTCATCTGTATAGGCCTATAAAGATGCATTTCCAATCATGGCTTTGGGTTTGGCCACCATTTTAAGAAATGTGTACAAGGTATATTTAAGAAGAACTATGTTTACTTAAATAAAGTTTAGCTGGGAAACCAACACATGTATATGGGTGTTTGTTTGACTTTTTTTTTGATCAATTATATAAATTATATTTGATGAATTTCTATGTAATGAATTTCCCAAATGTATTTGTCTGGGGGAGTGCATTTCTGGTTACTATTGGAAAAATTGGTACTGTAATTTGATTGGTGCAATATCTGTGAGGACTGGTTATTTTTTATTTTATAAGTTAAAACACTTTGCAATTAACAAGTTTCACGATGGCTGTTGTTGCTCTGTTGCGTGTGTAATTAAAGTACTTGTTCGTGACATTAGTTACTCATGATTCAAATCACAGGTCGCTTTATTGCTGAAGTTAGAGCACTACTGACAGTCTGGTTATTTGCCATTCCCCCAAATAGACTAATGAAAGCCAACTAATGGAAAATGTTAACAGTGAGGTGACATGTTATCTACCTGCTGTACTGTGGCATGTCAAAAGTGAAATAGATAGTGTAGTTTTTATTTACAGACAATTTGACACAACCTCACGTTGTTTTCAAGTAAACATACCTTTAATGACTTGTCCTCTTCAAGTTCACTGCATTGGACAGAGACGCTCCCACATACAGTAGTGTTGGCTGGGAGTCAACAAGATCCAGTGTTGCTGGATGGCACAGCAACAGAAGATTCATCAATTGTAAGAAGATTAAGAGACTAGTTCAGAATTTGAAGAGTGTGAAACATATTGAAGCATTTTAACAACAAGGGGGAAAAAAGCAGAAAAATGAATCTAATCATGTGTGTATTTCCAGTGGCACACTCAAGTGTACACCTTAAGATGAACAGTAGTGTAATTTGTTGTGACAAAAGGTCAGGCACCTTTGCCTTTAACAGTGAAAAGGAAAAACTACTCCACAACAGAAACTGATTAATGTTCATGCCTTATGTTGGAACATTTTAATAAATAAAGGACAATAAGGGTAGAGCACTGATAAAGTGAGATTTAAGACACAATTATTACATGGTTTAGTTGAATACTCGATTCTGATTGGTCAATTCAGAACACGTGACACGTTTTTAATCCAGTAGTACAGACTGCTGTCAAGGATTTATTGACCGTTGTTAAGGACGCTTACATCTGCAGAAAGAAGTCCGGTCGATTGAACTGTATACAGTTTGGCCGAAAAGCAAAGTGCATGCAGTTTGCTTTTCAAACTGGGACAAGAACACAGAGGAGAAGTAACGGGGCAGAAACCCTCCTTTTTACGCAACGGTCATGTAATAAGCGGGATATTCCAGATCAAGATCCCTCCGCTTCGCGTCGGACTCCTGATCTGCCTGTCGGGTGTTCTTTTACCCTTAATGACCGCCTCGCTGCACATTATCCCTTACACAACAGTCTCTAAATTGCACACACATACAATGCACCAAGCCATAGTCATATAAGGAGACCTCTATCATAATGAGCAGAAAAACGGGATATTCGGTGAGGAAAATACGAAATATTGCTTTGAAAAAATACAAAAGAAAAAAAGTGCGGGAAAACGTATGCTCACAAAGCTTAACAACCTGATAATAGCTCGGCCTGACAGGAATGAGAAAAGGTGTCATTTTGTTCCATTTTTGTCTTTTTAGGACAATCATGTTGCTGCATTCTTTACTAAATTCCCCTTAAGGAAATAGATCTTGAAGCTTAATGGTATGAAACAGGTACTTATAGGTAAGTACAAACTATAACTTATTCCCATAGCACAATTGCTTTCCAATATTACAATAAAACATCTTCATAATAAAGTGTTAAATAAGAAAAGTTGCTAAGAATACAGAAGTTATGCCTTTCTCTTTTGCTCTATATTTCCTTTTTAGTGTCTAAAGCTCTTTTCATTAGTCAATGTTAATGTTGGTGGTTTGGAATTTAAAAAATATATTTTCAACTTCTGTTGATTATTCAAATAAATGTATACATTGTTTTATGCATGAATAACAATTTTGCAGAAGATAAAAGAGCCATCAAGTTTTAAAAATACAGATGTTAATACTATGAAAATGGCACCTTTTTTGTATATGCAAATGATAAAGATTAAATATGAATATGTTTATATAAAACAAATGTGATATATGTTGACAGACTTAATGTGAAGGAATAATTGTATCTGATTAGTATTGTCTTTTCAGTTATTAAGAGTACATCATGTCACAGAAAACACTCAGCAAATACAGTGCAGCCTGAGCAAACACAGATGCAGATCAGCCAAACCAAACAGAACTCAGGGGACGTGATTTCACCGCAACCGAAATCCTTATACACTAAAACACACGTTTACAAAGCTATGATCTGTTTAAAAGGCTTAGAAAAGCATTTGGACATAATCAGAAAAGAGGTGAAACTGTAAACAACAAGCTCAGATCAGTCCTGTGAAATACTAAAAATATGCATTTTCAAAGTCATGGTTAGCTTCTTACCATGCTCTTTCTCTTCTTGCTGTGTATCTGTTAAAGATTAGACAATACCCAAACACCAGAAGTGACTCAGTGCTCAGCAACGTAACACCTATTAATATTTAATTGAATCCACTGTAGGAGGTGCAGTAGCAGCTGCCGGTAAATACACAGGTGACTCACTTTTATTGTGTACACATACATAAATATGAATTATCAGAAAGTCAATTGATAATGAAATGCTTTCTTGGTGTATAGGAATTACAACATAATGCCTGCACCAAGTGGACACAGCCAACAATATCGTCGATATCATATGTTTGGATGAACAAAAAGTCAGTATTTGTACTTAAACGGCACTAGCTTTATGACTACATCTTACCCCTAGATTCCACCGGGTCCGTCTGCCCCGCGTTGCGGTTTTGGTCCGGCCTCCTCCGGCGTCATACCCTACCAGGCGCATTTCAGAAGCGGAGCGTCTTGCCTGCCGGCTCGCAGTTTTTGTTGATTTGGGCATATTTCCTGGACAGGCTACTTTGTACGGACACAGTTAATAATAACTGTAATATTCCAGTTATAAATGACATGAATCAAAGATGTGTTGCTGTATTTTAGTGGTAAAAAAATGCATTCATCATCATTATTCTATATATATATAATTTACACAGTGCCTGTAAACCGGAGGAGAACGCTGGCATTTCTCCTCCTACTTGAAAGACTACGGAGGGATAGGGTCTGCAAAATTAGTTTGTGTGTGTGTATATATATAGGTCTATATAGCTCTGAACGTTCCACTTCCTGCCTGCCCGACCTTACGTTACGGCTGCGCCGCGACAAAAATAGGATTCGATCCTAATTTTAGAGGAGCCCTGCGCCGAGCCGCTTCTGGGACGCTTCTGAGCCGTAACGCGCCGCGTGTGGTGGACTAGCACCCATTGACTAGAGTGGCCGCGATCGCCGTGAGCACCGCGGCGCAGCCGTAACGCGCCCGTAACGCGCCGCAGACGGACCCGGTGGAATCTAGGGGTTAGGGTATCTCTCTATTTCAGAGTGATAAGCCGATGAACTGCTGCCTTTGTGCATTAAGCCAAGGATGGCTGTATCATCTGAGAATTTGATGATATAATTCTGAGGGTGAACTCTCGTACAGTCGTTTGTGTACAGTGTGAAGAGGACCGGGGAGCTCACACAACCCTGGGGGGGCTCCTGTACTGATGGTCCGGGGCTCTGAGAGGGCATTGTTGACCCTGACGTGCTGAGTGCGATTGGTTAAAAACGAAAAATACCATTTCAAGATAAAAGGATTTATACTGATCTTTATCAGTTTTTTAAGCAAGATGTGAGGCTGCAGTGTGTTAAAAGCCGAGCTAAAATCCACACTCAGTAGGCGTACATTTGGGGGGGGGTTAGTGAATTGTCAACGGGGGGGGGGGGGGGGGGATGCTAGTGAACTGTCAACTGGGAAACGTCGGACCTCTGTCGGTGCAACTTCAATGATGCCATTTAAAAACATAAAAAATGAAGGGCGGTGACGGCCGTCAGCAAATCGAGCCGGCCCTTGACGACCGGCCATTCTGTGATTCTACAGATTCTACAGATGGCCAGTCCGCGGAGGGTGGAAAATATATACCGGAAGTAAACAAAGACGTGCAACAGGAAGGTGTTCCCACGGGAAACAAAACTTAAAATATTAAATGAAACAATCTCATCTCTTAAAATTCACAACTTATTATGAATTAAACATTCACAAACTTATAATTATGTATTCACATGTTTAACTCTGTTACATATGCAGAATTAGGAGGGAATTCCGTCTGGTAGCGTTTGTGCACCATTTTGAAATGCCTCTCTAAATTACCCTTCTTCGGTAAAGCCACGCTCGCATTGCAGATGAGACACAGATGGACTTTGTATTTGAATAAACAAAAAAATAATCATCCTCCCACTCGGAGTGAAAATTATATATTTTGGGCTTTTTTGCTTCTGCCATAATTGCGGTCTTGTGTGTGTGCGGACTGTCACTCCTGTTGACACGGACAACGTCAGCTAACTAGTGCCCACTGCCCACCAGCCACGCCCCGACACATGGGGTCACGCCAATCACAAAGCTTTGATGCGTTCAAGTGCATTATTCTGGCACAGGGAGATTATGTTATAGGACATTAACGATAAAACAGAATATTGTTGTTCTATTTTTAGACACATCTCGCGATCGACTGGGAATCTCCGATCGACTGGTTGGGCACCCCTGCCTTAGAGTCTTCCAGGTGTTTAGTGACCAGGTGTGTGATGCTATTTAGAGCATCGTCTATGCCACGCCGTTGCTTGTAGGCAAACTGAAAAGGGTCTAAATGTACATCAACCTCTTTCTTTAGCAGCGGCACCATGATCCTCTCAAAACATTTCATGACAATGGCAACACACTCTCACTCCCTAAACGTCCAGGAGCGACGCTTGGTCAGGGTCCCGTGGCGTGCAGTTGGGACGCACCGAGGCTTCTTCAGCTTCATAAACGGACGCAAAGAGCTGTCAACTGATTGCAATGTATTCCCATCGGCGACGGTATTTGACGCTCAGGGAAGCACCGCATCGGTCCATGTCGGCGGCTGTTTAAAGGCAATGTGAGCGTCCATTCCCATTGGATAACGGAGGATTTTACACCCGGAAGTAACTATTCTCCTTACTGTCGATTGATTTTACAGTGATATCTGCACTACTCATCAACTCAAAAACACCAGATTATCCTTGTTAATTACACAACATTGATTGGTTTAAATTGTGTGCAATGCTTTTGTGTTTTTCCCCTTCGATTCGGAGAAACAAATATTTTTTCGGAGTTTAGGATGGCACTACCCAGAATTCTCAGCTATCGTTTGGGACTACACCATGTGCTTTGTTTGACAAACCCCGTGATTACTTCTCAAGCTCTGTGATTGGATGTTGGAGTGGCAGTGCGCAAAGTTTACACCGCGTCAAACAGCACTTTGAAATGGAATGAAACCCATCGACGGCACACTATCCAAATCAAGACTCGGACGTGTCCTACCCCCCCCCCCCCCCTATAAAGCATATTCATTACTCGTTATTCTCTAATTGTTCATCAAAAACTGTATATAATGGCTATTTTGCACATCCCTTTCAAGATTTCAAGATTTTCAAAGGTTTATTGAAATATCATATACACAACTAGTTATACAATGATGACAAACTTGGGTCATAG